CTATTACATTTTGAAAATAGCAACATAGCGGCGTCAAGTAAGGCGAATAAGGAATTCACCCCTACTAAGGTCAACGATTCTAGCGGTCGACCTGGTGATGTCGCTCTGTGCTCATTGGCAAATATGGGAGCACAACCTCCTTCAACCGTGTTACTGGGTACGGCGCGTATTTTGGTTAGGGATTCGCGTGGAAACGAACAAAGCGTCCGTGCACTGCTGGACAGCGGAGCCCAAAATAGCTTTATAACACGACAATGTTGTCAGCGCTTAGGCTTAGTAATAAATAGGTCACTTTCATGTCCTGTAGTTAAAGGCATCGGAGGTACTAGTAAAGCGACACAGGGATATATAAATTTAAAATTTTATTCTCGGATAGATCGTAACGTTAACTTTGATATAAATGCACTAGTAGTAGATAGGGTCACTGAACGGTTGCCAACCGTTTCGGTTGACACCTCGGCAATGATTGAATTTAAAAATTTGACTCTAGCAGACGACACTTACGCCGTTCCTGGAAACATAGACATGCTCATTGGGGCATCGCTTTTCCCTCATCTTTTGTTAAACAATAAGGTCAGGAGCAACTCCTCGCATACCGCGCCTTACGCACTGGAAACCGTATTGGGCTATGTGATCCTTGGCTCCGCCCCCATCCTAGATAGTATTTCGGCAGCCTCTTATTGTGGTATGGCTGTCGAACCGCTCGAGTCGTTAGTCCGCAAATTTTGGGAGATGGAGGAGGTGAACGTCCCACCCATAGCTAGTTCAGATGACAGGATATGCGAGGAAATTTACGTCCGCACGACCGTTCGTGATCGCGACGGTAGATATAGTGTAGCGCTACCCTTTAAGGGAGATGTTTTATCTCTCGGCGATTCGCGTCAAATGGCGGAAAAACGTTTCTACAGCTTGGAGCGTAGGATGCTCGCTTCGCCCCAGTTAAAGGAAGCTTACGACGGCGTCATTAACGAATATATAAGAGAAGGTTACATATCACTTGTGGCTTCGAAATTAGATAACTACGAAGACACACCGTCGTATTTTATACCACACCACGGAGTCATTAGAGAGGACAAACTTACATCTAAATTACGTGTAGTGCTCGACGCTAGTGCTAAAACTAGCACTCACCTGTCGCTTAACGATATCCTCTATAGTGGGCAAAATTTACAGGGCAGTTTATTTGATATAATAGTCAATTTTCGTTTGTTTAGTATAGCACTATCCGCCGATATTCGCCAAATGTTTCTTTGCATAGGGGTCCGTGAATGCGACCGTAGATTCCAGCGCATTTTATATCGTTTCCACCCAAAGGAACCTCTAATGGTGTTAGAATTTAACCGCGTTTGTTTTGGTTTAAAGTCGAGCCCATTTCATGCGTTACGCACGGTGAGACAGCTCGCTCACGATGAAGGTCCCTCTTATCCTAAAGCTAAGAGGGCAATTGAGAGCGGATTATATATGGATGATTTTGTGTACTCGGTCGATAGCGTGGAGGAGGCCACCCTAACCACCGCCGAGGTTATAAGGCTCATGAAATCGGGTCAATTCGATCTTGTGAAGTGGACTAGTAATTCGCGTCCGGTTTTAGATACAATCCCACTATCACACCGTCTTTCGGCGATAAAGGAATTCGACGATTCCGATACACACAAGGTGCTCGGTCTGTGTTGGTCACCAGAGTCCGACGTGTTCAGCCTTAAGGTAAATCCGCCCGTAGAGAAATGCACAAAGCGCACAATACTGTCATGCGTTGCTAGATTATGGGACGTCATGGGTTTCGTAGCTCCGGTGGTATTATACGCTAAGCTTTTGATTAAACAACTTTGGTTATTTGAATGCGATTGGGATGACTCGCCGCCTGACAGCATTGTTCGATTGTGGCAGCGCTTTAGAGAGGAACTTCCTTTACTAAGAGAAATTAAAATACCGCGTCATATAAATGTCGATAGAAATAGCAGCATAACGGTTGTTGGATTTGCAGACACCAGCGAGAAGGCTTACGGGGGCGTTGTATATTTCCATGTCCAGAATAATGGTAGAAATTCGATTAGCCTCATTAGTTCTAAGTCGAGAGTCTCCCCCCGTAAGGTTGTCTCTCTGGCGCGCTTAGAGCTTTGCGCAATATTAGTACTCACCAAGCTTATTACCACAGTTATCGGCGCATGTAGGGATAGAGTTCACATAGAAAGAATATTTGCCTTTTCCGACTCCACCGTCGCCTTATGTTGGGTTCATTCTTCACCCCACCGTTGGGATACGTTTGTCGCGAACCGAGTGGCCAAGATCCAAGACGAGTTAGAAACGCGGAACTTTTATCACGTGTCCGGTAAGGAAAACCCTGCCGATTGTCTATCCCGGGGACTCACCCCGATGCAAATAATGGACCACCCGCTTTGGTTCCATGGACCTTCTTGGGTTTACTTGGATCCCTCACAATGGCCAATAACCGATTTCGAACCTTCGTCAGTGTCACAACCGCCGGAAGAGAAGAGACACGCTCTAGTGGCGAACGTTTCGAGCGAGGTTTCTCCAATCATTGCTCTGGCGAACCGCTTGTCCTCTTGGTCGAAATTATTGCGTAGCGTAATTTACGTTTGTCGATTCGCGAAGCTTTTACCGCGACGTCCGTATGTCTTAGCATCCGATTACAACTATGCCGAGTCGCTAGTATTACGTGAACTTCAACGTGCGCACTTCTCTGAAGAAATTACAAGATTACAATCGAATAGAGCTTGTAGTCGCGCCTTTCAACGCCTTAAGCCATTTTTACAGGATGGGATTGTAAGGGTAGGTGGACGCTTGTCCAACTCGCAATTGAGTTTCGACCAACGGCACCCTATAGTTTTACCGCGTAAAGACCATATCATGAACTTATTAGTCGATTATCATCATAAATTGAACTCGCACGCTGGCCCCGATTTATTGATGTCGATCTTGCGTCAGAATTATTGGATTCTTTCTGCACGTAGTTTAATACGCAATCGGGTGCACAGATGTATAGCTTGCTTTCGGGCACGCCCCAAGCCGTCATTTCCGGAAATGGCGGAACTTAGATCTTGTAGAGTGATACAATCGGTAAAGCCCTTCACGCACACCGGGTCTGATTTTGCTGGTCCGTTTAAGGTCACGCTCACTCGCGGGCGTGGTATAAGATCCACAAAGGCTTACGTCTGCATTTTCGTATGTCTAACTACTCGAGCAGTGCATATAGAACTCGTTGTTGATCTAAGCACAGCAGGCTTTATGGGTGCATTTAAAAGATTTCTATCGCGCAGAGGCCCTGTAAGTAAATTATATTCGGATAACGGTACGAACTACGTCGGTGCAAAACGTATTCTATCGGAACTACATGAGCTCTTAGCTAGCAAGTATTATAATTCGGAGTTCGCTCACATTCTAGCCGAGAACCGCATTGAGTGGTCTCTGAACGTCCCAGCCGCGAGTCATTTTGGGGGCAATTGGGAGACTAATATTAAAAGTCTAAAGAGCCACTTATACCGAGTAATAGGAGATCAAATTTTGTCCTTCGAAGAGCTAAGTACGGTGCTCGCTCAAATTGAATGCGTAATGAATAGCCGCCCACTTTGTCGGACGTTATCTAGTGACCCCTCGGAACCGCTGGCTCTAACTCCAGCACATTTTTTGACTTTAACGCCTCTAAGGTATCTGCCCGCCGCGGATATGGATGAGAACAGACTTAGCATTTCCACACGCCACAAATTATTAGATCGGTTAGTGCAATCGTTTTGGAAACGATGGAGGATGGAATACTTGCATACTTTGCAGTCTCGGCAAAAATGGAACACAGCGACAGAGCCTTTAGCTGTAGGAACCGTAGTTGTGCTCACTAAGGAGAATACGCCGCCTCTCCACTGGCCGTTAGGAATCGTCGAGGAGGTCTTTCCCGGTTCCGACGGAGTAATTAGGATAGCTCGCGTTAAGACCACGGTTGGGTCTTACCTACGTCCTGTTATCCGTTTGTGCCCCTTGCTTCTTCCATAATTTAAATTAGCTTTCTAGACTGAAATTGTAGTTTAATTTAGGTAATCTTAGCGTTAGTTAGTTATTTGTTAGTCGATCTTAGCTCTAGTTGTTTAGTTATTTTTTTGAAGGAAATCCTTCAAGGGCGGGGGGAGATGGTTGCGCGGAAAACCATTCGCGTTTTTTATTTGACGGTAGGAACTTGTAGAATCATTATTCCTTTCCAAACAATATCATTCGTACCCTCCTATCGACACATCGGGGTGGTGGGGTGGGAGGGGAAAGAAGACGATTCTAGAACATCGCGTAATCACCCGAGCCGAGGATATATAAGACACGCGCGACCGATGCGCGAGCCTCTTCTCCCGCCGCAGTCGTCGTTGAACTACAACCTCCTCTTCCCGCGCGCTCGTTTGGAAACACCTCACTAGTGGAAACCGCTTTGGCCTGGAAGCAGTCGAGCTCCAGGAACCCGCCTCACCTCGTGTGAGATATCGTCGCGCACCGCCTCTCTCCGGAGTGTTCCAGTCGCCGCTATAGTGATCGACAGGAAGAAGAAACCCCGGTGAGTCAATATTCCTTAATTATACCTGCTTGCTAATAGTTTAACCCGCTCCAATCTGTGTTTTTTTCCTAGTCAAGCAGGATTCCTTTCATCGATTCGACAAGTAATAGTTTAGTTTAGGGAAGAGCGAGTGCATTGTACCGCATGCTATAGTAGTCGCTTTACGTAAGCGTAGAAGCAATCGCATATACAGTCCACTTTAGTTAATATCTCGCGTAATAGGTTTGAGGTTTGACCGGGGAACTAGATTTTCGGCAGCCTTAAACACGTGGCTCCACCAACAATATTAATATTTAATTAGAAGCGTACGTGAAAACTGAACGAAGTTCAAAGTTTTCGTGTTTGTTTAAAATATCGTTATCTTCTAACAGGTATTTAGGTATTTTTACACCTACGCAGCATTGTCCAGTTTGATAGAAGTGTCGTCTGTATCAAGCGCATACGTCGCAGAATGTCGGAATTTCTGTCTGTAGTGGATGGTGACAGTGGAGTTCAGGTAGGATAATCAATAATCATCTTCAATCAGCGGGTAATCGTTACTTTTTCGACGCAGAAGCGTAGAGTCTGTTTCATGAAAGAAGTCCCGCGGAAATGTGTGAACTAAAATTTAATGTATGGAATTTGACACCAGATGTCAAACTTTGCAGACGGTGGTGCCGCGGCTAAGGTACTTCTTTCATGAAGCAGACTAGCTAGCATAAGTATCTGTCGCCTAGAGGCAATTGGAGTACTACTCCGAGACTAATTTCTAAGTAGGTATATCAAAAAATCTTATTATAATAAAATTAGGTATATTAAAAGATCACTTAAACTTTTTTGTTGTTCTTGGATATTGTTTGTAAAAAGCTATTATACGTAACAGAATTCTTACTGTTTACACCAATATTAGAATGTGTATGGGTATAGCTTACACATGATATTTTCTGAACTTGCTATTATTTTAATCAAAAGTAAGTTACTAGCATCATTTAAAGTACCTAAAACTGACCACGACACTAGGTATCGTCATCGATCCTTGATATGAGTGCGTCAATCGGCCATTACATAGGCTCTCACAGAATACCAGTGTGAAAGCAAAGACTATAAAAGGGTAGCTTAATGCTGCTGTGTTTCGTATAGTGAGTGTAGAGAACCGGAGACCCTTTTTACTGGAAACGAGGCATTCCACCTTTGCCTCACGTGTGACAACGCATCTGCATTTTGATTCGTAATCGAGGATATATGTAGATGTCTATGGGCCACAGCAACCACTTACCATCTGGTGGACTGTGTGCTCGTTTGCTCGTTTGTCACACTATCATATAAAAAAAGGAAGATAAATAGTATCAAAGATAAAAAAGCGTTTTAAAAAGGCTTTCTTTCATACCGAAAATGCTGCCCCCTAAATTGTATATAACATCTTCGTAGTCGGTGTAATGTGACGCGTCATCCGCTTCCCTTTAAAACGGTCGAGGATGTCGATAATTAGCACACGCGTCATACTTTTTATCAGTTTTAGTTGTGGGAACTGGTCTGTTCAGGTTTAAAACATATTTATTAGCTGTAGCTATTCACATTCCCTTCTTTAGTTGCGTAAGGAACACATGCTTTGATCACTAGCGTTTCACCGTCATCATCATCATTACAGCCCTTCACAAGTCCACTGCTGAACATAGGCCTCACCCAAGTAATGCCACAAAGCACGGTCCTGAGCCACCCGAATCCATCGACTTCCTGCATGGCCTACCAGGTCATCACTCCATCTAGTGGGGGGTTGCCCTACACTACGCCTACCGGTACGAGGCTGCCACTCGAGAACCTTTCTTCCCCATCGGTTATCGGTTCTTCGAGCTATATGGCCGACCCATTGCCACTTCAGCTTGCTAATCCGTTGGGCTATGTCGGTCACTCTGGTTTTACTGCGGATATCCTCATTTCTGAGTCTATCACGCAGAGAAACTCCGAGCATAGCCCTCTCCATAGCTCGCTGAGTGACCTTGAGCGCACTCATACGGACGTCATCATATCATCCTCCCATGAATAACGACGCAAAAAACCACAAGCGTTTATGCCTTTTCAATTTTGTTGAAGAAAGAAAATATTATATGATTACCTATTAACAGCCTATTAAAGTCCACTACTGAGTATAGGCCTCCCCCATAGATTGCCTCATAGAGGGGTCATTTGCGATAGTTGACATGCTTGGCAATTGGCAAGCGGGTTGGCAACCACGGTTTTTTATTTAGTCGTTATTAGAAACATGCTGCTGCCCATCTCCTGCCTGTTCCCCTCTGTCGGCTCTGACGACTCCCACGGGATGATGTGGAGTAGTAAGTACTTTTACATCGCTGTTACACGGTAATTATATAATTGGCCTATAAAAATATTACCATAAAAAACCGGCCAAGAGCGTGTCGGGCCACGCCCAGTGTAGGGTTCCGTAGATTCCCGTCCGTCACAGTAAGTGTTCTCACTTATGAGCTTAAACGTGGGTATCCATGATGTTCGCGCTCCAGCAGCGCTCCGCGCTCCTGCAACTGCTCCAGGTAGTGGGTACTCTTGTTTCCATCCAAGTTCAAAATGATTTTCCTAGGAAGTCCTTATAAAGTTTTTTCATATTTTCTAAACTTATGGTTCAAAAGTTAGAGGGGGGGGGACACATTGTTTTTTACTTTTGGAGCGATTATTTCCGAAATTATTGACATTATCAAAAAATGATTTAAGTAAACCCCTATTCATTTTTAAATACCTTTCCTTATTCATTTTTAAATATATCACACGTTAGGGTTGAAATTAAAAAAAAAATCACTTCCCACTTTACATATAGGGGGGCTACCCTAATAAAACATTTTTTATTTTACCACTTTGTCGGCGTGATTGATACACATATTGGTACCAAATTTCAGCTTTCTAGTGCTAACGGTCACAGAGATTAAGCTAGGACGGACAGACGGACAGACAGACATGGCGAAACTATAAGGGTTCCTAGTTGACTACGGAACCCTAAAAAAGAGGATACCTGTGGAGTTTCTTTTGCTGTTTCTTATACGAACAGAAAAAGAAGGATAGTAAAGTAAAAACATGCCGGTGTTACACAAACGAAATTTTAATTGCTTACATAAAGAAATAAAGTTTTCGTTTCATTTGATGAAAGCCGTCCGGAGCCGTAGGTCTTGTCTAATGATTACTAAAGTTTAAATTCCAATGTACCTGTTGATGATACCTATCACCTTAGAGTCGATGGTTGATCTTGAAATTCGAAATGATTAAAATTTAAAACGAGTAGGTACTGTGTGTTCTAAAATTTGCGACGGATGTAAACGTCGTAGACCCATGTTGCAGCTATATTACTGGTATAGTTGTTGCACGAATGGGTCGGCTCGACCGGGGAAGGCGACCACGCTCTCATAGAATACCAGCGTAAAATAGCAGATTAACGTTGCTGTTTCGTATGGTGAGTGTAGAGAACCGGAGACCCTTTACACTGGGAACGAGGCATTCCATCTTAGTCTTCAGGGTGACAACGCATCTGCATTTTGATTCGTAATCGAAGATAGATGTAGATGGCTATGGGCCACAGCATCCACTTACCATCAGGTGGACTGTGTGCTCGTTTGTCACCCTTATCCTATAAAAAATGGGTCCAAAAAAGTGCATGTGTACAGAATACACATGTTAAAAGTGAAACTTCATTCATCATCATTAATATCGTAATCAATACAGCCCTTCACAACACAGGTTTACCTTCATTGCTTATTTATATTTCAAAATTAAAATCAGGTTAGATTTTCTAAACCCACGTGTCATGGTACATATTATTAATTATTTTATATTATTATCCATAAATATGTATAAGGTACATAAGGGTATATGGTCACCACTCTATAAAACCAAAACTGGGAAGAGGATAAATTAAAAACACAAAGTCGTATACTATAACTAATATATTTAAAAAATAGCAAACAAGCCTTGGCAATAATTATTAACACTTCGAAAAATTATTTTAAAAAAACTAACTACACTACAACATACTAAAATCGACTAAAATATTTACGATAGTATCAACTGTTAAAATGGCGTCGATAAAGCAGCGTCTTTTTGACTCTTTACTATTTGATTCACCGATGAAGAGCTATCGTATCGTATCGCCTTCTATTCAAATAAGACCATATTAATTGGATGAACACATTAATCGGAGCCATCGGCGCAGGACAGGATTATAGTGCCCACGTGTATGCGCAAGCACAGGTGCACTCTCTATTCCCTCACTCTCATAATCCAATGGGATGGTAAACCGACACGACCGGAGATAGTTCAGGCGCAGAACCAACGGCTTTATGTGCTTTCCGAGTCACTGGGGTGAGACACCGCCAACTTCCTGACTCCGGGCAGCTACTGAGAATTTCTTGACGGAAAAACACAATAATAGATTTTTTTTGGCCCAACCCGGAATTTGTTCGGAATTCATTTTACCTTATGATCAACAGTCGCACTACTACAACCGCTAGACCAACGAGGCAGTCATGATCATGTACGAGGCAGATGGCGGTATAACTATAACGTTTAGGCGCAACAACATCCAAGGTGCTCGCGTCTTGTTCTAGACTTCCAATCAGAGTGAATATAAAAGAGCGCGACAGCTTAATTACGGGTAAATATTATATAGCTAAGTCAAAAGTTCACTGATAAGGAAAAGAACAAAGGCGAAAGATGCAGTCAAACAGGTCCTGACATTAAAATGGAAATGGTCTGGTCATATTCAGAGAGCTACGGATCAAAGATGGTCACAAATAATCACAAATTGGTACCCAATATATAAAAAACGAAGGAAAGGTAGACCATTTAAAAGATGGAGTGACGACATCGTAGAAATAGCCGGAAACTTATGGTCCAGACGGGCAAATGATAGAGCCACCTGGAATGGTTTGGAGGAGGCTTTCACCGCAAAAAGGCGGCCCTTACACCTAACAATACTAACCTTATTTAAAAAGAAAACTAACATTACTAACAAATAAATAAATAAGCATACATAATAGTAGATAAGAAATACATACATGTAAGGGATTAAATAAAGCTAATAATAATAATAATTATATACCTAGTAATTTTCATACTACATTATTTTTCTATAATATATAGTACAAGTGACTGAAATATAGTACGATACTATATATTATAGTACGGGTTTTTTTATAGGATAGGGTGACAAACGAGCACACAGTCCACACGATGGTAAGTGGTTGCTGCGGCCCATACACATCTACATATATCTTTAATTATAAATCAAAATGCAAATGCGTTGTCACCCATGAGGACTAAGATGGAATGCCTCGTTTCCAGTAAAAAGGGTCTCCGGTTCTCTACACTCACCATACGAAACACAGCAGCATTAAGCTACTATTTCGCGCTGGTATTCTGTGAGAGCGTGGTCCTTCCCCGGTCGAGCCGACCCATTCGTGCTACAACTATACTACTAATATAACTGCAGCATGGCTGTACCACTTATAAGAAGGGTAG